ATATTAAACCGGACGTGTCCCTGGTCAGCAAGATAACAAGGCTGAGACTCGCTTATTTTGGCCACATCATGTGATCAGACTCATTGGAAACAGATATAATGCTTGGACTGCTAAGCGGCAAGAGAAAACCAGGTTGCCAAAGAGCGAGGTGATTAGACTCCATCCAAAATGATGTGGGCCAGAGCATAGTTCAGCTGAAAGAGGTGACATGTGTTCAGAAAGTGTGACGAGATTTGGCCCCTGGGATCTCTTATAGTCGGACACAACTGAACAGCTGAACAACAACAGAGAGACGTGATATCTTGCATCACCAGATTATGTCCCCCTTTTCTGATTGGCTGTTGTCCGGCAGCACTGCATCAACTGTGTATATCTTTGAAAGGTGCTCATTCTCTCTTTTTAAAGTGTATTTTTCATAGGCACACATTTTTACATGCAGCTTTCAAAATGCATGATCTTCTTGGTCTGTGGATCACATTGCAAGCTTGGAAATGCAGAGTGTTCCAGTTTTGACTGCAGATTGTATCTGAGCCCATTTTCAGGAGAAGGTTAATCCAGATAAAAATGAAAGAAATCCTTCATACATCCCTGGCTCAACCGGATATGTCCCTTATTTACTTAATATGCTCCATTTCTGTTTGACACAAAGACATCTGTGGGCGGCACCTTTCCTGGGCGGCAAACCAGGAATATTTGAGAATATTAGAGAGAATAAGTGGACCAGTAGAGTGAATGATGAGGACAAAGGAGAGGTAAACTCCAACCAGTTTAACTGCAAGGCAGGTTACACTTTCCCCATCCTTGAATTAGAAGATGGTTCCTAATATGCAATATGAGCCCTTTAAAAATAAGTAAGTCCCCATGCTGTTCTTTCAACATCTCACTCCTAACAGTGCAAAAGGAAGAGATTAAAAATGGCTAGGAAAAATAAAGAATAGCCCACACACGTACTATAGCAATGAACAGTGTATGAGTCAGAGCACATCTGGCAATATGGACTCAGTAAATTAATTTGGCCATGCACCAATGGACAGTAATCAAGTTTTGTGTCGGCCAATAAATGGCAGTGTAACGAAGTACCAAAGCTCGCATTAAGTTTAATCATGCTGAAGTTCTGCTGGCTTCAGAATGTGGCAGTGTGGTCTTGAACAAAATGGGTTGCAAAACGTCTGCAAATGTAACAGTTTTTACACAAACACACACACTTATTCTAACAGTGCTGTCTGATATCTACTCAGAGGTAAGTAATATTGAGGTGCTATATATTTGCAGGAGAAATTCCATTTCAGAGAAGCTCTTGGAGGCTGAATCCTGGTGGTGAGTGGGGCCAAATACTCCGGCTATTGGAACGTAAAGCCCTTAATGCCTGTAACTCAGCCTTTTCAACCTTCTAGAATGGCAAAAGATCACACAAAATCTAGGCAAGCTCACAAAGATTGGTGATTGGAGGAAAGGGGATGGTGACTGTCAGGGAAGGGGGAAGACGAATTTGAGTTGGATGCCAAGAATTGGATTCATATCTAGGAAGTGGCGAGATCTGCATCCCAGGCCTGGAGTATACGATTGCAGACTTGAGACTGTACACATTTCTGCATGATTTAGTAGTAGGTACACCCCCTCTTCTTTCTGATCCACTGCCCGGGGGGAGGCAGGGAAGTAGTTGAGCACGCAGGTTCGAGCAATGTTGAAATGCCAGGCAGTGGGGTTTGGGCACATAACATATGCAACTGTGTTTCACCTCTTTGATTCATTCTAACTAAGTATTTTTCTTTCTTTTTATTTATTCATTTATTTATTTATTAAAACATTTTTAAGGTGGACAGACTGGTTCAGTCTTTCCTTCCCAGCCAAACCATTTTAACCTTCCGGTAGGCTCAATGATTTATATCTATCTATCTACCTACCTACCTACCTGTCACTAAGGCAGTGGGGGTGTGAGCTTGGGTGAACTCTGAGAGATGGTGGAGGACAGGAATGCCTGGAGGAATGTTGTCCATGGGGTCGGGATGGCTTGGGCAATATGGTGGCCCACAAAGCCACACACAGCCCTCATTGATCTTATTTTTTAAAAAATAAGCACACAAGGTAGTACCTGTAGATGCTCAAAGGACCAAATTTAGCTTCCTTTTGTTTTGCAGGTGCTACAGAAATGGCTGCCAAAAATATGGAACACCCATCTTCTGAGGTCAGGCAGACCCAACATTGCTTTGTTTTCCGCACCTCCTAAAAATATTTTTATTCAGGAAGACTTCCTTAACTGACCAGCCATGGTTTCATTGATATGGTTCAACTGATCTTGGTTTTAAGTACTTAACTTTATTCTTTTATTTGCTTTATTTTTTATGGCTCAGTGCTCCAAGATCTCCTTACTGGAATACTGAGTGGTAGAGAAATCTTGCAATTAAGTAGAGCTCAGAATCAAGGTGACTTGACCACTAGATGCTACATAGCACTGAGGAATCGTTTGCCATGAAATGTGGCCATACAGACCAACATCCAGAAGAACTATATCTCTTTAGCACTTACAGTAGAAAAATTCACCTGGAATATGTTTTACAGTTAGGTTGCCTTCATAGCAGGAGTGAAAGGCCCAAATGGTGTAGAAAGAACTGAACTTTGGTAAAAATGAGACATCTAACTCAGTAAATTCATCCCCACCCATTTCTGACCGGACTGTTAAGTCCCTTTGAGTAGTGAACACTCTTTCTCCATCTCTCTTGTTGCATTCTCCCAGCATTTGCTCCATGGGCACGTCTTGTTTAAGGCATCTAGGTTTCGTGTTGTTAATGCTATGGCACTGACAGGCAGCCTCTTGCAATATTATAGATCAAAAATATCACAGCAAAGCACAAACACTATCCCAAACTTTCATCATCCATTGTATATATTCTTTTTCAGCCTGCAAAAACAAAAGCAACGTAAAACACAGATCCTCAGGACAAAGGGAAATATTCCCCTTTCACAAAGGAAAAAGACCTCTCTAGAGGACATAAAGATTTGTCTTTCCACATATGTATAAGTAATTACCAAGCTGTTCCATTACAAGCATCTTATGGACTGAAAGCTACATTACAAAGGAAGCACTTTACAGTTATGAAGAACAATTATCTTGACTCTAAAAATAAATTAAAGAAAACAGAGGAGGGGGAATACTGGGATATCAGACATGCAGTATGCCTCTTGCAACTGTCACTTCCAAGGTACCTTTCAGTGTCTCCAAGAAAGAAAATCCATTTCCCTCTCTTTAAGCACTTATTTATGAAAATGAGAGTTTCAGTCTTAGATTAGGCAAATGCAATCTAAGCAAGTAAGCAAACAAAAACAGGCCTTTAATGTTACAGGCAGAGACTCTTCTCATCAGCCACTACCTGGAAACTTTTACCTATGGAGACGTCAGGAATTAAACACAGAATGTACACCAAGCACATATGCCAAACATGTGCTCTGTCTTGAGCTGTGGTCCCTTTTTATGATATCCTACTCTCAATATTAATTATAATGCCAGTCTATACTTACGGAACAACAACAGCAGCAGCAACAACAACGACGTTATGTCCTTGATGTGCACCGTGTACAAGCACAGTGGACCGGTCCCTGCAGTGATGTGACATGTTGCTTACATCTTGGCCTGTATTGTATGGCTAAAAATGGCCAGACCCTGTCAATGCATTTTCCTTCACTTCACTATTTAGTGAAGCTGGGATCTAGTTCATTGTATGGTTTGATGTAGGTTAGTGGTCCCTGCAATGCTAATTGTAAAGTCAGAGTTGGCAAACACATCTCTCGCCTTTACTCGGAGCAAGCTACAAGGGCAGAGTCATCTGGAAGGAGCAATTCTTTGCTAATTACTGCCAATTGCTCTTTTGGCTCATAAATACACATACAGAGCAGGAAGGAGATTATGGGGTTTACCTGAGCAGAATTCGCAGCTTTAGTCCAATGGCAATTCATAATTTTAGTGCAGCCTCATAGAAATGCCATCAACACGCTATGGGTTGATGGCTTGGCTTGGTCCACCAGGTACTGGCCCAATCTGTTGGATTTGGACTTCCCCCATCAGATTCCCTGCACATCTGGAGCCTTCAAGATTTTTAATACTGATGTGGAGGAAGTGGAAATACTTATCTAATTGGCAGATGACGCAGAATTGCACAGAGGAGCTTAGGTGACAGAAACATTTAAAGTGACCCTCAGAGGTTAGAAGAGTGGGTAGGAAATAACAAAATGACTGAGCAAATGAGACCAAGTATGACATTGTTCATTTAGGAAAAGGAAATTAAATGCACAGGTATAAAGTGAGGGATCACTGGCTTGGCAATAGTGTGTATCATGAATTTTGGCATTGTAGTATATTGCAAGCTGAATATGAGTCAGCAGTGTGATGTGGCTGCAAAAAAAGACAAATTAGGTTGTATCAACAGAAGTCTCATTTCAAACCATGGAAAGTGATAGAACTCTGTAGTTTCTGCTGGCCAGACTTCACCTCAAATACTGTTTCCAGTTGGGACACCGGATTCAAAGAAGGATGTGCATAAAAGGGGATGAGTCCAGAGAAGGAGGCAAGGATGATCAGGAACTAGAAACTAAGCCCTGTATGAAAAGATTGAAGGAACTGGACATGTTTAGTCTTAAGAAGAGAAGTTTGAAGGAAATGTGATAGAATTTTGCAATGACCTAAAGGATCGCCACATAGAAAAGTGCCACAGCCTCTTCTTGGTCATGTAAGATGTCTGAACATGAAACAACAGGGATAAGCTATAGACAGATTTTGGTTGAACATCAAGGGAAGCTCGGACCTGCTAGACCATGGAGACAATGGCCAGGGGGATGGGTGGCTCTCTCTGAAGACCATCTTGAAGGTCCAATATCTCCAAAATTCAAGGGGAAATTCAAATAAGGGGAATTTTGCACGCATCCCTAACTCTGTGCTTGACTACTTTGGATTGAAAGATGCAAAAGATCCACACGGAAGGCCATCGAAGAAAATGAGTCCCACTTACCAAAGCACAAAGCAGATCCACTGCTTCCAGGATGAGTTCTTGGTGGCCAATTCGAGTGACGCCCAACTCTTCAAGCTCCTGGTGAGTGATGTGCAGGAGCTGCTCTCCGCTGATTTTCTCTCTCTCGAAATTTTTAATGTATTGCTGCAGGCAGTCATCGAGGCCTAGGTTAAAACAGCATCAAGGGAGGTGCGTGGTTAGAAATTAAATGAAAGAATATCACTTGGCTGGTTCACTGCAACTTCTGTTCACTCTGGAATGAGAATATTTTCATCTTGATGACATATAAAAGGGCACTTTCAGAAAAGAAAACAGTAAGGGGTAACAGCATTTAATCCTGTGTGCCACAGTAGGAATCTTTTTATATCCATTTTTATATTGGGAAAACTGCCATTTTCAAAGGCAGCTAAGGAATGCATTAAATAATAGAGTAGTTAAATTGTATGGCACCCATCGGAAATTTAGCTTCTATCCCAAATCTAAGGGCAATGAAAAGCCATTTGTTCAGCTTTTGCAAAGGGTGATGAGTTTCACATGAGCAACAGACATGCTGTATTCACAGCCAGCTCTGGTATCCTCGTGCATGAGCATGCCATGAAATGCACATATATGCAACTGCCACATGTCTGTCACTCCACATGCTCTATGGAGCAGCACCGATCCAGCGTGCCTTCCCGATCGGCTCTTACTATTCCCTTCGACTGTGAAAATAAGTAGAGGTGTGAAGAGAGAGGAGGAAAGCGCTTACTGCGGGTTCCTCCTTACCCCACTCCCCTGCACACCAGGCTCCAGGCTACAGTTACGCCATTTTCTATGGGCAGTCTTGTAGAGGGACAATCTGCCATTGAAAGCATCCATATGTGCCAATATCCTTGTGCATGACTAGGGACCACCCCTGTTTTCAGAACCAGGTTCCTGCTTTTGCTTTTAGGGGACATCTACTTAGGATGCAGTCCAGGGCTCTCTGCACGTAAGCCTCTGAACTGTCACCCCTGGCCCCAGGGTTCACTGATGGCACATTTTCCACTGGTCAGAGATGGAGCAGCAAGCCAGGAGAAGACCTACTACCTCTCAAAGCCAGCATTGCTTCTAATCCCATGCCATCAGATAAAAGTAACATTTTTATCTAGATCAGGGTCAGGAGTGTGTCATCCAGATATTGTTTCCCATCAGCTCTTATCAGCATAGCCAATACTGAAGGAGGACAGGAATTGCAGTACAACAGGAATAAAACCATGCACCCTTGTCTAGATGCTGGAACCATTTTTTCGGGACAATAAGTAAGGACAGTATTTTTCCCGTGTTCTTGAAACTGCAAATACTGAAACTAATGCACCAACCTGCAATGCTAGCATGAAAAGTCACTGTCCCTGCACACTGCTCTTTCAGAAAACATTGTGACAAATGGTAATGTCACCAAGGAGAGAACAACAAGTGAGAAGAGAAAAGGAGATAAAAAGACCATGTCGGTTGTTAAAAAAATCAAAAGCAATTTTCCCCAAGTTCCTGTCCAAGTGTCTTGCTCCAGAATTCAGCAAATAAGTGTGTCATGCTCAGATAAAGACATTATGTTGAGCTAGGTTGATCTAAATATATTTCAGATGCCAGGTGCATCTATTTTGGAAAAGCAAAATTGGTAGATTTTATGACTCAGACTGCTCTTTTTAGATCCCTGGGGTATGGCTGTTTGGAAGACAATTACTTAGTGGTTAAACAAATATGGCAGTTGTCAGTGGAAGGAACAGAAAAAGTCACTGATGGAAAACCTGGTTGTCTTCTAGTGTGACAGCATACAGCCTATACAACAGAAAGCGTGGCCAGCTAAGACCATTGTGGCGATGAACACTGCCACCCATATTTTCAGTGAGTTCCGTGTCTTGCGCCTCCCACTGTTGGTTGCCAGACATCACACAATTGAAAAGGAACAAAAAACATCTTCTCCATGGTGCTTTCACCCAGACTGCTATCAGTGCACAGGGGCCTGCCAACTTGGAGGCTAAATGAATGAGCGGGGGCTGAAGAATCACAGTGAATGCTTTCTCCAGACAGCCCTTTTCTCTAGCTAGACCTTGTAGCTGGGACTTCTGACCTCCAGGACAATGTTGGGAAGGCACAGCATTTCATACAAAAATGTGGCTACTGGGGAACTAAAATGCAAATACAATATTAGGAAGATTGTTTACAGAAAGGGTGTATATAATGAAAATGTGTAAAATAAGGCATGCCTTAGAATAAATGTTTACACAAATGTTTGAGCTTTCATATGAACTTCACAACAAATTCTCCAAATTTGGATCAAACTTAAGTCTGGAAAAATTCCTGACACACACACACACACACACACTGCTGACTGGAAAAATGAGACTTTGAGACAAACCAAAATAGACAGACTCAGCCATCAAGCTGTACTGTGAGCAGAAACATATTTATGCAAGAGTGTCTCAGTATGACATGCTGAAAGAAACCTTGCCTTCTTTTCCTGGGTGCAATATGGGGCTGTAGCAAAGAGGAAGGCGAGGAAGCAGCCTAAGCTCCAGTAATGTATCTTGCTAACACTTCCATTTTTTTTTTTAACTTGAAAGAGAAATGCATTCACTTGGCTGAAGTCCTACACTCTGGTCCAGAAATCCAGATGTGTTCGCTTAATTGCTTGGCAATCAACGCAGGGGAAAAACTGATAATTATGTCCCTGTCTCCTGATAAAGCAGAGTTCTCAAGCAGGCCTACCCTTCTCACATTCCCATTCACATCTCTTACTGCGGCAAATTATAGGAAGGCTCGGAGACGGAGCTGCAGAACCAGGGACATGGTAAGGGATACTGGAAGCTGGAAATGGGAAGGTCCAGTCACACTCAGCTGCACTCTGAACCTTAAAGGAGCTGACCCTTGTGCTGAATTAAGTTTGGCCCAGGCTTAGCACTAGAGATATCTCCTTCAAAGTTCCTACTATGGCCCAGAGTGAATATGCTGCACCATGAAAATTGGAGGCACCAGCCTCCATTGGCAATAGGGGTGGAAGCGCACTTTCTGTGTCCCTTACAGATATTGCACTAAGTAATATCTGAGCTGGGCATTCCATTCCCCCATTTTATTTCTGTTTGTGGCTGAGATACTTAAAAGATCACCATTTCCCACATGAATCCATCCATAAAACAACATTGTCACTTCTGTGTGTTTCACCCCCGGAGTGGCTGGAAACACCAATGCTTAGACCAACATATTTGTTCAGTTTCAGCAGCTTGTTAAAACATCTGCATTCCTTGTGGTTTTTCAGGGATCTTTCCCCGCTATAAATGTATTAGCTCCACACTCTGATTTTAAGTTTCTTTCTGTCTCTCAGTCCTGCTGTGATGATGTTTAAACATTTTCACATTATTTTAAATATTAATTACATGCTACCCGGGGGCAGGGAAAGGCTATTTAGGCTCAAAGTGAACTTATAAATAAATGAAACCTAACACATTTGGGCTTCAGAATTTTGAGGAAGAATGTGGAGTGGAATCTCTAAAGAAGGAAAGGAGACTTTATGGCCCTTCAGAAATTGTTAGCCTAGAATTCCCAGCAGCCTTAGCTTCTGCCTAGGGTTGCTCTCCCTTGCTCCAAAGCAAACACAGCATCACTGTTGCTGAAAGTGTTCCTCTTATCTACCCAGATTTTATATTTGTGGTTAATTCAATGCTCTCCCATGATCTGAAAACCTATAAAATTCATAGAGCATCAGTGCAAGTGGAAGACAATCATTTTTCTTAACTGGCAAATTAAATCTGAAACTGAGGATTCACATTACCCCAGGATCTCACACCAACTTTCCCTAATAAGGGAACCATGATCTAAATATATTAATACTGTGCTAGGTTGACAAATGTTCTGATTCAGTATAAAGGCAGCTTTTTATGTTCCTACTTCATCATTACCTGCTGTCTCATTATTTTTTTCAGCAAGGGAAAATGGAAATACATATTCCGAAAGGGTATATGCAGAGCTAGAATTCAAACTTCAGCAGTTTCTCAAAAGGAGAGAGAGAAGGAAATATCACATCTTTTTGTGCTCTGAGAAGAATTCCTCCACAGTCTCAGAATTCATTAACAACTAATGGAACTTTGTGCAAAATGCACCAAAAAGTTGAACACGGAACATTGCAGCCCCAGAGGATACTAGTGTGAAAGGCTGACTGTGTTAAAATGGAAGATACTGATGTAAAATACGATCAGACAGTCGTTATCATCATGCAGGCTTTCAAATGGAGTCAGGTGTGCGAAATGTGTTTTATAACTACTCCTAAAAGGCTAGCTTTCAAAAAACCTACTGACCTTTTCCAATAGTGCACATCAGCCAGTCTTTCTTTCATGCTTTTTTTTATCATTCTCCAAATCTGGCTATGCTGGCTAGAAAGTTTTTTTTAAATAACAACTAAAGCCTTGTTCCTTTCAAAATGGGAAGAAAAAGTTACAGAATCAGCCATATTCCATTTATTGATATGCTACTATGACCAGGGAGTCTCTTTCTCTTCTCACATCCATTCAGTTATTCTCTGTCTATTAAAAGCAAACAGAGAAGCTCTCAAAAAATCCTTGTACAGTTTGTAAAACCCAACCAAACCCCAGTTTTCAAGAGGCTTTTTAAAGCGTGCACACAGAATGTAGCAAGCTGCAATCCAGACATATGGTGTTGCTATGCAGTCCAATTGAAATCAGTGGAACACAACACATGCTTACGTTTTCACACTGATTTCAATGGGATCAAACTTCTGTTTGGATCAAATGAGACCCCTGGGGACCAGTCAGCAGGGTCCCAACACCTGCTGACAGCTCCTCTGAAGTCAGAGAGAAAGGGACTCTCAGGGAACAAGGGAGTCATTCTGAGGAAGAGGAAAATGATCCTTTAGAAGTGACCTGTTCCTTGGAAGGTATTCTCTTGAACTGAGGATATTCCTCCGGGAAGTGGAGGGAAATTCTCAACCTTACGAACAGACACTCAGTAAATCTCTTGGTCCAGAAGGTAGCCATTCCAGAGTTCTCAAAGAATTCAAACTTGAAATTGCTTGCCTTCTTACCGAAATATTTAATATGCCCCTAAAACCAGCCTTTGTACCAGAGGATTGGAGAATGGCCTATGTGACACCATTTTTTAAAAAAAGGATTGAGGGGCAATCCAGGGAATGACAGGTCAGTTTTCCCTACATCTGTACGGCTTGAAAGTGTGATTGAAGAAAGAATTTGGGGGAAGGCACCATTGAAAAGGCTCTTTATGCTACCAGCCTCCCTTGGAGTGAGTATCAGGGGCAGAACCCAAACCTTGGTTACAATTCCAGGTAGACTGTGCTTCATCCTGTCCCAAATCATGCAGGGCTGTGTAGGTTAAAACCAGCACCCTAAGTTGGACCAGATGGACCAGAACTTGTATTATATGATCAGACCATCTGGTAAAAAGGCTGCCACATTTCACACAAGCTGAAGTTTCTGAGCAGTCTTCCCTCCCTAATCTAGTTGAGAGATTAGCTTCTAGTCAGTGTTGGGGCAACTGGTCAGTATTCTAGCTTCGAGGGTGCTGTCCATGGTTTTGAATATCAACTCAAGTATCTGATATAATCCAGTTGCTTGGTCCACTAGGCACCCCCTTGGCTAACTTATCACTCAGAACAGATGATGGACACCCAAGATAGCTACTGATAGGAACCATTCAATCAAGTACAAGTAACAGATCTCAGTCTGCTTGTAGCTTAGGATTAGAAACCATCCAGTACCAAAGTGGTTACATAGTCCCTGATATATTTTTTTATGTAGCAATATTCACCTTAGTTAGACCTGCCCATTATGTGTGCATTTCTAAGCAAAGACACCTGAACTTAGCGAAATTTA